TAAGGAGGGAGGCCCAGCGACAGTATGAAAACGACATAGCATCGAAAGTCAAATCTGACCCGAAACTGCTGTATAGCCACATTAGGAGGAAGACAACAGTCAAGGACCAGGTGATAAGGCTGAGGAAAGAAGGTGGAGAACTCACAAGAAACGATCAAGAGGTATGTAAGGAGCTCAACACGAGATTTAAGGAAGTATTTACAGTAGAGACAGGAAGGACTCTGGGGGGACAGACCAGATGGGGACACCAGCAAGGAATACACCAACAAGTGTTGGACGACATACATGCAGATGAGGAGGAGGTGAAGAAACTGCTAAGGGACATCGATACCTCAAAGGCAATGGGACCGGACAACATCTCCCCGTGGGTCCTTAGAGAGGGAGCAGATATGTTGTGCGTGCCACTTACCACAATCTTCAACACGTCCCTGGAAACTGGGCAACTGCCTGAGGTATGGAAGACGGCAAATGTAGTTCCCATTTTTAAAAAAGGAGACAGAAAAGAGGCACTAAACTATAGACCTGTGTCATTGACGTGTATAGTATGCAAAATTATGGAGAAGATTATCAGGAGGAGAGTGGTGGAGCACCTGGAACGGAACAAGAGTATAAATGCCAACCAGCACGGATTCACGGAAGGCAAATTCTACATCACAAACCTTCTGGAGTTTTATGATAAAATAACAGAAGTAAGACACGAGAGAGAGGGGTGGGTTGATTGCATCTTCTTGGACTGCAAGAAGGCCTTTGACACAGTTCCTCACAAGAGATTAGTGCAGAAGCTAGAGCATCAGGTGCATATAACAGGAAGGGCACTGCAATGGATCAAAGAATACCTGACAGGGAGGTAACAACGAGTCATGGTACGTAATGATGTATCACAGTGGGCACCTGTGACGAGCGGGGTCCCACAGGGGTCGGTCCTAGGACCAGTGCTATTTTTGGTATATGTGAACGACATGACGGAATGGTTTGACTCAGAAGTGTCCCTGTTTGCAGATGATGTGAAGTTAATGAGGAGAATTAAATCTGATGAGGACCAGGCAGGACTTCAAAGAGACCTGGACAGACTGGACACCTGGTCCAGCAAATGGCTTCTCGAATTTAATCCTGCCAAATGCAAAGTCATGAAGATAGGGGAAGGGCACAGAAGACCACAGACAGAGTGTAGGCTAGGTGGCCAAAGACTGCAAACCTCACTCAAGGAGAAAGATCTTGGGGTGAGTATAACACCGAGCATGTCTCTGGAAGCACACATCAACCAGATAACTGCTGCAGCATATGGGCGCCTGGCAAACCTGAGAACAGCTTTCCGATACCTTAGCAAGGAATCATTCAAGACACTGTACACCGTGTATGTCAGGCCCATACTGGAGTATGCAGCACCTGTTTGGAACCCGCACTTGATAAAGCACGTCAAGAAACTAGAGAAAGTACAAAGGTTTGCGACAAGGTTAGTTCCAGAGCTAAGGGGAATGTCCTATGAAGAAAGATTAAGGGAAATCGGCCTGACGACACTGGAGGACAGGAGGGTCAGGGGAGACATGATAACGACATATAAAATACTGCGTGGAATAGACAAGGTGGACAAAGACAGGATGTTCCAGGGAGGGGACACAGAAACAAGAGGCCACAATTGGAAGTTGACGACACAAATGAGTCAGAGAGATAGTAGGAAGTATTTCTTCAGTCATAGAGTTGTAAGGCAGTGGAATAGCCTAGAAAATGACGTAGTGGAGGCAGGAACCATACACAGTTTTAAGACGAGGTTTGATAAAGCTCATGGAGCGGGAAGAGAGAGGGCCCAGTAGCAACCGGTGAAGAGGCGGGGCCAGAGCTAAGACTCGACCCCTGCAACCACAAATAGGTGAGTACAAATAGGTGAGTACACGCACACGCACACGCACACGCACACACGCGCGCGCGCGCACGTCCACACTGTCATCTACCTCCAGTACAGCAGGAATGGGAGAGACGATGTGATGCTAACTTCAGGGACTCCTATAAGTAGCACTCTACTTTCAGAATTCCCTAAAATTTGCTCAGTTGTATATATTTGTCCCTTTAGAATTTTCAGACCCCATTCCCATCGGCTCACGGGGAAAGAGGGCATTCACATTCCTTGGAGAATTGGACAAAAACACTCGTTGGAACAACTAAAGATCCCAGATCATCAAGTTATCTGCTCCAGCGCCTCGGTGTTGCAGTTCTGAGAAGTAATAATGCCTGTTGCATCATGGGTACGCGTCCCAGCACTGAGGAGCTGGATGAAGTTTTTCAAAATGTAATAACCGAGGATTGCACCTTGGATTTGCCACATTTCTCTCAGACCTTTTGTATTTTGTATTCTATATTATTACTCACATCCTTGTGTCGTCAGCGCATCCTTCCAAATCTGTGTACCATTTTACTTAACACTGTAAAGAACATATATTTCAGTACAAAAGATAGTGTGGTAGCAGAGGTACAATATTTCAAAAGCCTCGAGGATAAATCACAATATTTTTCCTCGGACTTTTTATTATTTTTCTCGGAGGTTATGGGTTCCCACACCTGCACCTGGAGGTGGATCCCATCCATATATTTTCTGAGCAAAGTTTATTTAAAAATATATAAAACAAAATTTCAATTGAGATTCGATTTGCTCTATCAGTAAACACTTCTGTAATAAAAATATTTGATAACAAAGAAACACGGAAGTATAAAAAGAAAAAAAAAAAAAATGAATTTCGTGTTTTCGTGTTTTTTTTTTTTAGCTGAAGTTGTGTGTGGAAATGCACGAAAGCGCTCAGGCTTTTGTGTCTATATTTTTCTCTTTCAACTTTTTTTTTTTTTTTGCATATTTGGGATCACGTGCTTAACATTACTTAAGGGCGGATGTAAATATCGTCTCGCTTCTTCGTTATCTGAGAATGCAGCAAGAATAATGCTAAATAATCAGTGATAAGTTAGACTGCTAGAGATGTTCCACTGCAGTGAAGATACATTTAGAAGACAGTCACAGTAACTTTGAATATTGAATAAAGAAAAAAGGGATAAACAAAGAACGGTGTTTTTTTTCACAAACTAATTTCACCTTGGTGGCATGTTGCTGATGTAATGGCCGAGTTTGGTGCCACAGTTGTTGTTTCAGAGTCCAATTGTTAGCGATGGTTTATGTTTTTATGGAGGAGAACTAAACTTTTCTTCTTGTTGACTGGGCAAGAGTTAGAATGGTCATTTTACGAGTTAGGTCAGGTCGTGTTTGGGGGAATAATTTTTGAAGTGTATCGTTTCTAAAGTTTTTTTTTTTTTTATGTGTGTATGGATGTATGTTTAAATTTGGGGCATGTTGAGTGTGAAGTTCACTTCCAGCTCTTTTTCCCTGGCGCGATTTTTGCAGAATTTCCTCCTGAAGGATGTACTCTTTCAACTTATCTCTCTCCCGCATGTGCATGAATTTGCACTTGTTTTGTTTAGGTTTTCAGTAGCCACTTGACCACTCTTACGGCCTGTCTAAGACTTCCTGACTATTCTTGCCCAGTTCTTATTTTTTCACAGTAGTTTCACGTCTTAAGCTAACAACAACATGCAGGATTCAATACTCTTTTGAAGATTATTTACATATAATGAAGATAGATATCAACGGTCGAATTCGTGGACTCGTATACGTGTGTAGATTTGTGCATTTGTGTGGGTATGTGTGGTTTCCTGTATGTGCGTGGATGTATACCCTTGTGTGGATCCGCTTGACTCCCTGTACATTTGTGAGAATTCCTGTACATGCTTCGGTGTTTGTGTCTGTCTTCCTAACAATAGTGTACCTTAGAATTCGTCTCCGTTAGTCTCCGTAAGTAACATGACGTACGTCCGTGTGGGCCCATGAACATGTGCGTGTGGCCTTTTTATTAGGCACAATCTTCCGGTACTGTGTAGGGTCTTCCTGTGCCCCCATAACAGTCTAATTTCATCGTGGCATAGATTCAACAAAGTACTGGAAACATTCCTTAGAAATTCTGATCCATGTTGACATGATAGTATTACACAGTTGCCGCAGATTTGTAGGCTGCACATTTATGTTTAACACCCGTATAAGAGTGCTAGCACTATACTCCTATACATTCTCCTTTTTGCCTCCATCGATAATGTTCTTTGTTTCTTCATCAGTTCTGTGGTTTACCTCGTCTCTCATAAACCAGTCAGCTGACAATTTCATTCCCAAATATCTCAACACATTTCCCTTCTTGTTCATCAGCAATCCTGCTCTCCGTCTTACCATTAATTCTTTCAGTAGTAACTCTACTATACACTTTACCAGCTATACTCAACAGGCTTATTTCTCTATAATTCTTACACTCTTTCTTGTCCTATTTTCGTTTATACAATTGAACTATACAAGCTCTCTGCCAGTCCCTAGCTACCTTCCCCTATTTCATACATCCACTCTAAAGCTATATCTCCCAACTGTTTTTAACGTTTATGTATTGATCCCATCAGTCCCAGCTACTTGACCCCCTTTCATTCTACCCACAGCCTCACACATCTCCCCCACACTCACATCTGGCTCTTCCTCATCCTTAAAAGATGATATATATCCCTGGCCAGTGCATGAAATTATTGCCTTCTTTTCTTCATCCACATTTAACATTTCCTCAAAATATTTCCTCTCTTCCCAATTCCTCCAGCTACCTATCTAATAACTCCCCTCTTCTGTTTTTAACTGTTAAATCCATTAGTTCCCTAGGCTTTCTCCATTTATTAAACTTACTCCAAAAATTTTACTTATTCTCAGTAAAATTTGTTGATAGAACCTTCTCTCTATCTCATTCGTTCTCCTTCTACATTCCTTTACCATTCTCTTAACCTCTCTTTTACCCTCTATACACTCCACCCTTAGTATATACTTCTGTTTTATAAAAAAAACTCCAATATGCTAATTTTTTTCTCTCTTATCACTATCTCGTCATTTCACCAATCGCCCCTCATCCCTCCCACACCGGCCCATTAAATCTACCTCATACCATTTCAGCCTCTTTACCTGAAGGTCGGTTCGTCTTGAATGGAGTAGGAAGCATCTGGCAATCCTGCCACCCAGAACTAAGGCGGCTTGACCAGGAAGCTTTCCCTTGATTTGCGAGGCCCTGGCCATAGTAAAACAACGTGTTCAACCCAAAGTCGGCATTCTTACCAGATTTTCTTTTGGTAATTACCTGAATTACGGTCATAGCAGGAGAATGGGAAGAGCTTTCCGTAGTCACAGTAGGATCGGGACATTCTGGAACACAATAAGTCGTTACCGAGTAAAAACAGTGTTTCTTTCATTGGGAACTTCCCTGATATACCAACAGTTAAATAACCTGTAAAGCATAAAGTATTTATTTCTAACAAAATTTCTGTGTAGGGGAACTGAAAAGGCTTCTAACATAACTAAGGAATGTAGAGAAGGCTCATCAAAGACTGGGAGCAGTAGATACCTGTGTCCCTGAAGATGGTCACCTGTACTGGAGAATCATTCTCCTTTACTGATATCTGAGTAGAGCTATGAAAGGGGACCATACACGCATCAACTTTGCTCTGGTTAGTGGTGATACTTAGTAGGGGAGCAATGTGGAAGATCGTCTTTGGAGTTCAAGACAATTGGCAATATGACCAGGATACAGGCTCCGAAATCTTGTCTTGTGCAGCTTTTTTGGTTTTGATGTGGGTGTTGTGACGCACTCTCAGCTTCCGTCCTTGGACCACCAACAGAAGTCTTTCTCCGATTTATTTCAATTGTATCTGCTAACTTGGCCACTTCCATGGCAATTGCAAGCGCGTGATTTTCAAGGTAGATCCTCATCATCTGACGAACAGACTCAAGAAGACTGTCAACAAGAAAGAGTTGCAGCAACTCGTTAAGTTAGAAATACCAACTGCCTTACACCGCTCAGTAACGGTCTTTGACTAGAGCTTAACGAAGCCGACACTAGATTGCCTAGACAAATGTGCAACACTTGGGTATCTTTATTGAGGAAACGTTTCGCCACTCAGTGGCTTTATCAGTCCTATACAAAGAAGAATGGTGAAGATAAGAAGGAGCTTGAGGTAATCAGTCCCTCAGTCTGTAGTCAATTTAATCAGCCCATCAGTCTTGAGAAGAATGCAACAAATGCGCTAAGAAGTGGCTGTTATACCGTAGGTAGGTGAGGTGAGAATTCTTCACTTGCCTACCTATAGGCCATGACCTATGTCCACATGTGGTCTTGCCCATGTGACATCCCCTACAACTCCTTTTTCTCACCTGTTATAGCATATAAGCCACTTCTTCGCGCATATACTG